AGTCAGTACTGGGATAGAAGACCTTCAGGAAAAACCCGGTTGCAGCAGCAAATGATGTTTGTGGTCCAGTAGGTGATGCTCTTTCTTCTGGATCAGAATTTCTAATCCAGTGCCTTGGTAAGACATTGTGCCTCAGGAGGTACTGTCCTGCAGATGTGATTTTAAAAAATGTCCTGAATACTAGGTTACTAAAGATCTCATGAGACTGCTTGTAAGAGTTGGGTTGTTAAAGCCAAAGACCTGACTAAGCTCCATAATGGAATTTTGCAAAATTTCCTCTTAATTCAATTGATAAAATAATTAATGATCAGACAAGTGTAGTAGTGCTACTGTAGATGCTGCTCTCAGTGATGGATGATGCGTGTCCCATCCCATACACTGGAGAAAGTCTTCTGGGAGTGAAAGATTCATACCAGAGTCTCAGAACTGCAGGAGATCTCATCCATGCAGTGAATTTGCCACACACAGCCCTCTTACGTATTATCTACTGCTGCGAGCGGAGTGACTGTAGAGATTGCTGTGTTTTTTTATAGCCGTTTTGAAAGGAACAAAAACCTGTTGGGCCAACTCGAAGAATGCTGGTTTCTATGGAGACCACCCCATGAAAACTGCTCATGGAACTTTAGCTGTGGCGGTAGTAAAAAAAAAATAACACGAGATCAGGAGAAATCAATAAGCTTCCATCTGAGCACTTTGAACACCACCATAGGCAGGGCAGAGAGTATTGAGGAAGGGGGCTGCTTGGTACTGTGCATACAAAACCCTATTAAATGGCCAAAAAGATTTTAGTCAGCCTTTAAGTGTACATTTGAATATATTGTGTATTTTTTAATTTAGTAAATTAGTTTAAAAAAGCCATTGAGTATTTTAACATTCTACTTAATTTTACAAATAAATGCGGCCATTCAAGTAGTGAGACATGATGGTGGTCTCCGTACATAAGCCCTTATTTGAAAACTCCATGAGAGCCACCCAGAACATGAATAGGCTATTAGGCTTGTTATCCCTTTTCATCCCATGTGATTTTACTGTTTTTGAACAAGCCTGCATTATCTTAAATGGAACAATTATACTAAGCATAAACAGCTCCAAGTGAAGAAGTGCAGCATCTATTTCATTCTCAACAAAGACAAAAATGCTTTTTGATTGCACCCATGTTAGGTTTACTGTAATAGAGATGCAGTAACTATATTATCTATATTTGTATACAAAAATATAAATGTGCTCAATAAGACATCTCTCAGACCAGTTATACCTGTGAAAACCTAAATACTCAAGAAAAAGTATCTAATTGATATTAGAAGGTAGAAAAAGCCAGTTGTGTTAAGTTTATTCCCAAAGTCATGTGCATTTTTTTAGCAGTTGCATATAGCTTTTATGGATACATTTGACCTTTTTACAGCACAAAGTAACCAATGTATTTAAACATCTCAGGTGGCAGGGCCTGTTGCTTGGTGGTGTGGCACTAGACCAAATGCAGGTGTTAGGAACCACAGGTACCCTGGGACTACAGGAAGAACAGACACTCTGCCCTGGCACCAAGGCAGTGTGCCAGGCTCATTAAGAAGCTCTCTTTTAACAAGCTTCCCTCTGATCCCACCAGGCGCGTTAATTAAGACTCACCTGTTGGCGCCACCTTTGTTAACAAAGTCTGGGATCCCTGATTTTAATAACCCACTGCACCATTTACTTAAGAACTGCTTTGGAGATACTTAAAGAAAATAAGGAATCACTATGATAACTGAGATGGGAAATGGTTTTCAAGGACATATGCTCAATCTAGCCACATCTTGTCATTGATTACTAATGTTAAATAAAAGGCAGCTATTCTCACTCTGATGTTAAATAAAACTCCTTAGGTATTTTGCAGTGCATTACTGATCAAAGAACGACAATGCGATCACACAGTGCCAGCGTTAGCTTCTTGTCTGACATGTCAGATTCAGGAAAGGTAAGGTGTTACAGTCCCCGTACCCTTCCA